GTGAAGGCCCAGTAAACGCTCGCCACATATCTGTGATACCGGTCGGTGCCCAAGACAAGATCCGAAACAAGAGTTGGGGGTACGGTGCGGGTTACATTGTCCATCAATTGAGTTATCTAGAGCGAGAAACAACTTTCGACGATAATTTTTCTCTTTTGGAGCAACTTTTCGAGCCATTGATTCACTGACGTTCCGCAATCTCAGAACATGCCTCGCTACATTCGAGTACGTTGTAATGTGCTGGTACTGGTTGGTTGATGCGTGACAGGCAGCAATCGATATTGAGAAGTAACGGATTGCACGCCACCACTCAGAAACGAATATTCCTGTGGAGTGCTGAACATTGTTTCGCTTTTGTTCCAGGCATAAAACGTACGTGTGGTTTGCCTAGGTTTCGAGTAAGGTAATATTGGCGGTGCAGAAATGCATTCCGCTTCTAAACGTCCGTATGGTCTACAGCACTACTCCCGAATTGAGCACCGCCCGGGCGTATCTTCAAGGGTTGCGCGCTCTTGTCGCGCTTTTGGTTTGTCTTCGTTGTCCTGTCCTCTCCAAAAGGCTGTTGCTTTGCTACCCTCTCGGTCGGTCTCACCTCGCCCCCAACCCCTGGTCGTCCAAGCAGCTGCTATACTCCCCGTCGTTGATACAGTACTCCAGGATCCAGCTGCTTCTCCCGGCCGTGATCGAATGCGCCCCCACCGCGTACCACATGCACGCCTGCAGTGACAACAACAAGTTTAGGAGGTGTATTAACGAGGCGTTGCAGGTTTCGGGGGCGGTAGTGAAGGCGGTCCTTATTATGTCTTCTCACGTGGGCGGCTTGTTGACGGACTACTGATGCTCTGAAACCCGCGGCATTGTGCTAAGATATTCGGAGAACTTCTGTCGGCTGGGTCGGGGGTAGGATAGTTGAGATTGTGGGTTTCACCGGATCCGCCGGTTGGTTTTTCACCGGAACGTTCACCGGAAATTTGGCTTTCCATGGGCGTGACTCCGTCTGTGATCACTGGTCCAGGCGGTCGGGCTGTGGCGAATACGAAAACACTTTCTACGTTGTCTGAAGAGGAAGCAAAAACAAAAGGCCAAAAAACAACAATCCACGCCCTACACCGACGCGAAAGGCATCCTGTGCGGTACACCAACAGCACTGTTCATTGTAGAAGCTCTTTGGTTCCCTCGCTCGTGTTTCGTACGAAAGGTAGGCTGTAGGACAATACGTATACATAGCAAGATGTTCACATGTCGCTTCTTTGTGTGTTCTGGTTCTTACCGCAAGATGCGCCGCAAAAGACATGAGGATGACGAGCTTGGTCAGCCGTATGACGGCCGGATTCATCTGCATCGCCTCCTGGTACCGCTCAAAGAATGTCGACATCTGGCACAACAAATGAGTAGATCGAATGAGAAACACCGTGGGGGATCTCAAATTTGGTTAACGACTGAGGCCTGAGGGAGCGGGACGACGGGGTGTTCATAAGGTGGTCAGGACCACAAGCAACAACGACAACTACCTCCGTTCTCAGATTGGCAATACGCATCAGGCTCGCGCGTTCGAAAATGAGTATTGCTTCGTAATTGGTTGAAGCGAAGGAGGGGGGGGGGGCTTGGAGATCAGGTTGGTCGGTTTCTTTTCGATCGGACAACAAGAATCGACGAACACGATGCTTTCCCGACGATAGCGCGGTCGACGCTACATACCAGTACATATTTTCATTCATCAGCCGGTCTGAGCGGTTGGTGCTATTAGTAGAAACACAAACTCTTTTTTCGGTTTTCATGTACTCTGAATCCGGAGATTGGACCTTGTCCTCTAGGCTCTTCCACCCCTCTCTCCCCTTGTCGGAGGAGCCCGCCGCCTAGAAAGCTGGTTCGCCCTTTACTACCCGAGATGAACCTGACGTCTTTTTATTGGTCGGTCGATCAGCAGTCGATGCTATAGTAAACACACACACGCATACACATAAGCAACCATAAGCACACACCTTGAGCAGTCTGAAAATCTTGAAGAGGCGGATCAGCCTGATCATCCGAATCAGCTTCGTGCTCCTCAAGGCGTCGGAGTTCAGCAACATCCTCGAGAACATCGTGTCAAGGGGTACGGTTGACACGAAGTCCACGATGAACCAGGTCCGGAGATACTCCCCCGCGATCAGCTTCCTGTTTTATTGGGTTTGGGTAGGGCACTGTAAGATTGCTGTTGGACGCAACCAGGCGCGCACGACGTGTTGGTGTTGTCTTCCCTAATTTCTTCCCCACATCCCCCTTCTGTTGGCGGCGCCTGAAGACTCGGCCGTGCATCCTTACCTGGCCGATGCTGCGGCCGAGATCAGAAGCAGTGTCGTTTGATTTTCCTTCTTTCTCGTAGATATGTCTGTGGCTGCGACGAACAGGTTCAGCAGAACCGCTAGTGTTCCGTGGTCTGTTCTGACCTGACCGTGACCCTGACATCAACGATCCTTGCCCGAGTCTCGTTATTTCTGTGTCTGTCTCGTCAACGTCGAGACGGTACTTAACTCTACGCGCGTGTAGCCTTCAAGCTCGTATGTATGTGACTAAGAGCAGTATCTAGAGCAAGAGATTCCCATGCAACTAACGGCTCGAGAGGGAGGGGTGCCGGTAAAGGTGGCAAGTAAACGAGAACAATGATGGCCACGATGACAAGCATAACAGCGTACCCAGAATTATCTTACGTCAAGCTGGCCAAAGGGTAAAAACCCGCGCGGTGTCTCCGGGAGCAAACCTCAGGTGCTCTGTCCTAACCCTACCCCTTTTGCCTGGGATGATGGTGCATTCATCGTAAAATGGTACATTCATCACCCAAGAGAACACGACAACACGGAAACCACCTACAGCATGTAGATGTTTATTTTATTCTCGTTCACCGACCTGCTGGTGACGATGTTGCCGTCGTCCCAGTACGCCGTGTCGAAGCTCACCAACATATCGACGAAGAACAAACAGTCGACCACGTGCCCAAAAATGGCCCAGCTGCGACGCGAACACAACGGCGGATCGACGACAGGCCCATAACACCGACAACAAGCCAACGCAGCAGTCAAAACAGAGCGTTGCAGTTGCACACCGGCAAAGAGCGTGTCGCCATGTACGTGTGCGCGCGCGGCGCGTACGGGTTGATGGCAGAGGAGAGAGGGACGGCGAATCGTAGATGGAAGGGGGGGGTGTACGGGATGACTCCAGGATCATCACCGGAAGGCAGGCCATGAAGAGCAGGCAACCATATGGTCCAGTTGAATCCCGCTCGCCAACTACGCCGTGTTCAATGTACGAGAAATGCAGCGTGTCGTCGACGATTCCTGTACTACTAAGGAGCAGCCGGATGATGCCGATGCCTCGGGGGCGAAACCCGTCTTTTCTAGCGAGCAGTTCGAGCGTTCCAGCAAGACAACAACATACAACTGCTAGAGCTCCAGCAACAGCGTAAACGGTATCTAGGAATCAATACTACTGTATGCACATGTCATTGTATCCTGGGCATGTTTCTGTGTAGACACATGTGAGAACGTTGCTCGAGTCTCTAGCTGTCTTCACCTTCCCTCCGCGGGCGAGTCAAAGCCTAGCCGGAAAGTGACCTCCAGCACGGAGAACACGATGAAGAACGCCACAAACACGTCCCAGAAAGCCTTGCAATGTTCAGGCGTAACGGGGGTGGTGTACACATCGAGAACAGGTCAGTGCGACAACAGCGTGCGGGGAAATATAGCGTCAGAGAGGGGGCGATGGCGACTGTTGGAGGGGGGCGGGGAGGGGGAAGGAAGGGGGGTACTGTCTTCTTGAAGTGGTTTCTTTCTTGCGCCGTGTGGTGAGTTATTAATAGGGAAGACACACGAAGACGAATGTATACCCACGGTAATGGAAAACCGTAATCCTCCTTTGATTACCCTCGGGGCATACAGGTAGCTTGGACAGGGAACACAAGTAGGAACATGACCGTAATTTCTACGTGTGCATGTACGTCTCATCCGCTTGCAATTTCTCTCCCCTCTCCCCCGAGACTAGCCTCAAGTTCGCTGCTTTGGTGGGTCCAGTGTGATTTGGCCCTCTCTCGTGTTTGACAATTTTCTCTTAAACCGAACCTCAACGAATGGCCTGCTGGTTCCCGTGCAGCACTTAGAACCCGGGCTTCAAGAATGTGGTCCCGGATATGAAATTACATCAAGGCTCCCACCAAAGACAAATCTATCTAGTTTGGATCAACACGGGTGAGTGGATGCTTGGGGACAAAACACAAAGCACTCGAAAACTATGTACTTGATCGGCAGTACCCAAACGATAGCCAAATTGTTGTCACCGCCATCTGCTAAGGCACTGCACCTTCGTCATGGAGTCCGGGTGGAAAACGTGCAACCGACCCCAGAACACGTGCGGGCTAAGCTCGTTGAGAGCCAGCTGCTGCACGGACGCGGCTGTGTTGGTAATCCGCGTTTTCGTATCCTGATCAAGGCGGGTCGACATCGACAAAAAACAGCGGGGCGTGCATTGACAACGCCGTAGGCGGGGCCATCGTTTATTTTGTTGTTTCCTTGTTAGCTAGTACCTCATCGACCGTGAACTAAATTGTTCCACCATAGGTAGATGTTACCCATTTCCCCGTACCACGACGAAGGGGGAGGGGGGGGGGGTCACGCAAACAATATTGTGTGGGATTCTAGGGTTTGGATTTATATCGAATTCAACCATACAAGCCATGACACACGGGTTACGTATGCGTTGACACTGTGTACGGTAGGGAACAAGAAAGTATTTCATTGTTGTTCCAAAATCACGAGTCCAGGCGTAACTAGTCTACGGAGGGTGGTTGCTGTTGGATGGTTGGACTGCCTCTACCATAGCAGAAGACCTTACGGTTGGCGAAGCTGACAAAAGTAACCCACAAATGACGGGGCAGATACATGAGACCATACCTAACTCTGGCGAGGAAGCGCTGGTCTCTCCAGGCGAAGTGTCTGCTTCATGCCACCCGATTCGCAGCCAGAAAGACGGATCAAAAGACAGGCATATTGCACCGATGCCCGCATGCACCCAACATCCCTGGAGAACGGCATAGTACACGCCAATTGAAACGACATTCGCACCTGGTGAACATTCAAGAAGTTCATGTTCTTCTTCTTCAGGTGTTCGATCGGTTCCTCTTCGCCGGCCTTCGACATTTCGTCCAGCTTTTCCTGCATATGCCGATGCTTGTACGTAGTGTTCTGCAATTGGGTGTTTTGTTGCGGCGTTGGTTCGAACAACGATGTTATTTTTCATTTCGTTTCCGTTTGCTATTTTTCTTTATGTGGTTATGTTTGGCTAAACATCCTAAGTACCCTAAGAATAGTACGCCGAGGTCGGTTAGGTAGACAACGCGGCTAGGGTGTTCAGATGGAGGAGGGCAGCACGCGTCGTGGTTATGTATCGCCATCGTGCTTTTTCCGTCGAAACTCCGTTCGTTGTAAGTCGACTGCTTTAACAGGCCCGTCTACGTGGGACCTTGAAGTTACCAGCGTCTCAAAACACACCGGACACACGACGGGTAATAAAGTAATGAACTTGAAGTGTCATAGTTGGCCGCTTCATTGATAGGTCCTAAATCATAGGCATCGACATACACAAATAAATTTCGTGGCTTGTCGGCAAATCAATGCTTCTGCTAAGAGATTGGAGCGCCCCTGGGCACATGCAGGTGGTTTGCACGACGTGAGTACTTTTCAGGGAACTGAATCTCAGTTATGGAGTAATGGCTGCGTTTGGCGAAGTAGACAAATTGATTTAGGCAGAGTGAGGTAGGAAAGGCCCCACAGGGCAGGGAAAGGTAGAAACACAGGGAGATGCCGTGGAAACGTGCAACGTGTCTATTGTAAGGAAGGAAAATTATTGTGTCAACGTTTGCCATGGTTTCGTTGGGGTCGGTTTGGGTCGCGAGAGTGGAAAACGAGGGGTCTGAAAAAGAAGGCTTTAGGATACCCTTCTGGCGCAGCTGCGTCTCTACGTCCTTTTTTCACGACGCAGCTCTCGGTGATGGACAAATACGGGCGGACAATTGAGGGCTAGCCTCATGCTACAAAACCTAAGTAGCCGAATCCGTCCATTTTTTCAACCAGCATCTAACGCCACATGATGCGGAGGCAACGACTTTTCCACAAAAGGAGGCATTGATTCAAGTGTTGCTGTGTGGCCTCGGCCTCGGGGTTGCGTTCGACCTGTAGAAGGATGTGCGACCTATAGGGTGGGAAGTGGCTGCGCGCCATGGGAATTGAACGGGATTCGATACAAAAGTGGGTGCACTTTAGTGGCTGCAGCTATGCTTCCGTGCCTCAATTCGTGTTGCTCGCTTGCTTTGTGTTCATTCTCGAGGGTGGTATCTACTGTCGTGAACACCTTGGACCGATTTTGGCTCTCGCAAATGTCTTCGTTTGTCTTTTCGCCTGCTCTAGCTGAACCTGAACCTACACCCTACAGCGCATCCATTAGTGCGGACCAGTTCTCCGAACCCGACAGTTGTGCCCAACACCGCAACGGTTGCTCATGCGCTTGGTCTTCGCTCATTTTGTTCACCTTCTTCATGGGCCGCTGCCCGCCGCTTTGCCGTTGTCCCGTGTGTCTGCTTGGTGTCAACAGCTTCATGCTCGTTCTTCTGACGGCCTGAGCCACCGCCATCAAGCTCTGTCGACGAGATCTTCTCGGCCTCACGCCCTCTACCGCTCCCGCTCCCGCGCCAGTGCCACCCCCTGCCCCCGCCGCCCCCTCGCCCCGCAACAACCCCTCCACCCGTCCCCGTCCCGCCGTAGCTTCGCCCAATGGCCCGGGGGTATTTCTAGAGCCACTCTCAGGGTCGCTACCAGCTGATTCGCCTGTAACTATCCTTCTCTCCCTCGACACCGGCATGTTGTCCCCAACACTCGAATCCCCGCCTCGCGACCCACCGTTATCGGTGGAAGCGTCGCCGCTAACTTCGTGGGGCCTTAAGGGCAGCAAACTCAGTGATGGCGGTGACCGTGGACGTTCCGCTGGAACTTGTCCCGCCGCGCTCGCCTGTCTCGGGTGAATGCTTCCACTGGCAGCGCCCCCCGCAAGAACGTTGGGGGGGGTCGCGTCTTGCACGCTTTCGGAACCGTTCCCGCTCCCCGTTGTTTCGAAAGTGAGCTCGTCGGCATCTCCCACGGCCGACAAGCCAACATTGCCGGTGCCACCACCACTGGCAGTACCGCTGTCATTCGTTCTCGCAGAGTCTGCGCCTGAGTCGGAGCTGCTGCTGTCGTCGTCCTCGTCGTCGTCCACCCGATGGCTGAGCTGGCTCATCTGGTCGAAACTCCTTGCGGAAGTGGCACGATGGAGAATCATCGACGGCCGTCCCTCCGTCGGGGCCACTTTGGAACCACTCCGAAACTTTCTCGCCTGTGATTTTTTCAGCGACAATGGGAAGAGGGGGGCGACGTTTGATCGATGGATGCTTATTCTTGCGCAGGTTTAACAGATCACAGAAAGTGATACCCCCTACGTTCTGTATCCATCAATGTTTCTCACGTGGGGGGCAAGGGGACGGGTAGCATGCTTTGTACCATAGACTATGCCTTAGCGATTAGACCATTGACCACGCGTCCTCGAGAAGACGGAGATCGTTCCCACAGGACCGATCACCGATGGTCAATCGTTCGTTCCTACTTTGCCAGGTACTTCAAGAACATTTTCTATCCTCTACTATCTATCCTATCGACATCACCTCCTGCCAATTCAGCCCACTTCCTATGCCCCAGTATAGCTTCCGTCTTCTCCTGGCTTTTCCATGCCTCAGACATCTCTCTGTACCTTCATGCTATTTTTTCCCACCTCAGCCATGTACTTGTCTCTCTTCTTTTTCGTAAAACGGACATTCTGCAACTAAATGCGTCCGGTCTTCGCACTCGGAGCCGCATTCACGCTTGAACTTGTCGTGTTCGTCTATCTAGCTTAATCTTCGTCTACGTTCTCGACGGCCAATGTTCTCAGTCCTACGTTGGACCGTGAGCTTTGTCCCTGCATCCATTGGTTCATTTAGGTGCTCGTTCAACCCCATCCCTTTTTTTCCGTACACATCTAGACCCTCCTTTTCAACAATCCGTACACATCTAGACCCTCTTTTTCCTTCTTGGTTTCTTTGGTTACATTCTGTGGGGGGTTGAGAGCTCTAAATCCCATGACGCTCATCCTCCATCAAAACTCGGGCGAACTCACCACTGCCATACGCTGGGCGAGGCTGGAATGGGCGGGGCTGCCCCCCATCGTCACGTCGCTCGCGAAGGTGTTCTGCAGCTCCATGCACTGTTGCGATGCCGCCGATCTCACGCGCGGCCTTGCGTCGTACAAGCTCCCGTGCCTTTTCGAACCGTTGAGCTCATCTCCCTCGTCATCTTCGTCGTCGGTGATATCGCTACCCTCGCTTTCTTCCCGCCAGCTTCCGCTATCTTCGTCACCAAACGCACCGCTGTCGCATTCGGAAACGGACGCCACGAGAAGCCCACCCGTGAAGTTATCACCGCCGCCGCCGCCGCTACCACCGGCATTGCCGCCGTTCCCTCGGTCGTTGTCACCGGTGCCGTTCATGCCGCTGCCCTCGTTAAGCCCACCGTCCAGTCTCACGAGCGGGCTTAGCTTTATGGTGTTGCAAACCCGGAGCTTGACGTGCGCGCCGCGTACGTGTCTAACGTTCGGTGATGGTGATGCCGGAGAGAGTTCAAACCCGCCAGCACCAGCGTCGGGCAGAGCACCGGACGGGGACAGCGGGCCACCGCTTTCACCGCCTCCAACTGCGGCCGCCGCTGCCGCCGCTGCCTTCGCCATTGACGAAACGCGCTTTAGAGGTGGCAACGTCGCTTCCGGCGGAGGGCCACCTGTTCCAGCGTTCGTGCCAGCGCTTCCCACCCCCTGCTCGTGAGGAAGGTTTGTTGTGGAAAAACAGTATGTAGCAGGGCAGCGAAAACGGGCACACTTTGAGGCCGGACGCTGTCGGTGACAGAAAGTTACGACGTGCGATCCTCCTGTGTTGCTTCTACTTCTCTAGACCAGAATTGACATCCTGGCAACAACTGCACGCGAGTAATGTGTCAAACGTTTTGTCCTGACAACGACACAGAAAAACCATGACGACGACCGGCCACGCACCTCGTACCCGACCCTTTACTGTTCTTCTTTCGAACTGCATCGTTTATTTCGGTTTCTAGGCCGCGTATTGGGGAGGGAGACACAAGGAAATCACATCATCTCGCCAGCCACGTTGGCTGATGGGAGGGCGGGAATATACTGCTCTGCTCCCACCTACGTTGGGCGGTCACTGCCGTCCTTACGTCTCTTCACGTGCTCTGTTGATTTCGCTCGTTCTCGTGCATAACTTCTTGTTGCATCCAACACGTGTTACGGAATGACAGGGAGGACTTGAAAAGTTGTTCCTGTGCTGAGCCCAGGTTTCCGAAATATACAGAGAGGTATTCCTGCCGCTTCACAATAAACACCAACTTTATCTGTCTTTTCGACAACGAAGGTTCTCTTATTTTTCACACACGGCCGGTCTCTCTCTCCAACACAGCCATACGTGAGCGTATTCTAAGCTGATCAAACTGCAAGCCCCTATACGATAACCATCTCGTCTTCCCACAAGAAAGTCGTGAGGGATTAAAGATTTTTGGGGATTAAAATCGCTCCCAAGTCATTTCAGCCTACATGTACACCGGTTTCAAAGAGATTCGGCCATATTCTGAACCCAAACGTTATTCAGCCAAGTTTATCATCTCTTAATTTGACCTCAGGTTCTCACGAGAATCAGACACTGACCGACCCGTAAACCGCCCCCGCCAGTGCTGCTGCGGTTGCTGCCGCAAATGCGAGAGATCATCGTATCGTTAAGCAAACTATGCTCTCTTTTGCTCGAAAGGAGCTGTTTGTTCCTGCGTTACGTATCGATCCGGAATGGAATACCACACCACCGCCGCGTACGCTGAGTGCGCACGACTCTCGCAGCCGACTCCGCGTTGGTAACAGAAACTCCCACGGGTTGGGTGAACAGAACGGCCTCATTGACCTGACCTCAACCGGTACCGAGTAGAGAAAATTTCGACCAATAATTGAGTCAAACCGACCCAGCCTAGCCTAGCTCCGCCGCACCTTACGCTCTCGCCCATCGCTGTCCCGCGCCGTTGACAAGGGCACCACTCGTTGGGCCCCCCCCCCCCCTGTCCCGCCTCCTCCCCCTCCGCTTCCTTCCCCTCCCCCCCCCGCCCGTGCGTTGTCGCTCTTTTCCGCGATGAGGCCCATCCTATTCGTGTCTTCGCTATCCAACTCTTCGGGCACCACCTCCATCCCCTTGCGTTTCTTGAACTCGTCCAGGCGCCTCATGAAATTCTCAGCGTCCTCGATGAGACTCGCCTGTTCGTTGTTGGTGTAGTGACGTTGTTGTCGTTGTCGTCTTTAGTAAATACTGTTGTGGTTATTTTCTTCGTATAGGTCATGTGGGGCGATCTTCTGGGATACGTTAACGCTCGCTTGGCCACCTTTCATCTCGACACAGTAGCCGTATCGTAGATGGCGCAATTAGCAGCACGAGTGTTGAGTCGCCTACGAGATCGCTGTGTCCTGATGGGTTAACAATACCGAGTCCGCTGATAGGTTTTGATTTGCGTGATTTGGCAGTACTGGACTGATGCACACAGGGGAGCGCAGGCAACTGGTCGGCGTTTTCGGTCTTCAGGATTTGGTCTGTAGCCAGGATGGTTAGTACATCCCAGACTGACCGCCAGCATATTCACGGACCGAGGGTGCTTGTGGAGTCGTTATGTTTGAGTCTAACGGAGACACACCCGTGGTGGAGTGGGATAGTACGCGGGTGCTCAAACGTTGTTGTACTGACAAAGTCAGCAGTGCGCCGTGATTATCGCTGTCACGGTGTAATTTTTATTCACGGATACACGTGATGGTTGTTTGGGATGGGCTATTGCAATACATCCCGAGAGGATGGGGTAAGACGTCAGAAAAGCCACCGCTACAGGTTTTTTGGGCGGGTTCTTCCAACGGTGAGGGCGAAGGTACAGGTTGTAGCAAGTGCTTCCTCGAAGAACGTTTGGTATCCGGGCGTTCCGACCACACCAACACACGAGGCTCATACCTGCACTTTCACGAAGCCGTCCAGAGCCGACAGCAGGTTCTCCTTGCCGATGGTAAACATGTCGCACACCGACATCGCCACCGCAGCAATGGGCTACAATTATTTTTGGCAGTGAATCGTGTACATGAGGGCCAGGGTGGGTGGGGATAGTTAGCGGAGGCCGAGAGGGGAGGGGATATGGAGTGCCAGGCTATGTTTGGCACCACCTCCTTACGCTCGGGATTGGCCTCAGGAGCAAAACGTGTTCAACTTGTTGGGGTGTTGAGGTGACAGCACACAAACAGCATCGAACCGAAATCCCTCGCTCATGTTTGCAAGTGCGGGTGCTGGAGAAGTTACAGGTTACCTTGCAGCCACCCTCACTTCATCAATCCAAGAATAACAGAGGGAGATAACCCCACACGAACCGCACCTGCTGCACGTCGAGCATCACGCCGACCTCGCCGATCCTAGAGTCCTTGAAAACCTTGGCGAAGCTGAAGGTTTGGACGGCGAAAGGACCTTCGCCGGTGACGTTCGCCTCCAGGTCGCCATGCCCCATTGTACTGCGGTGGAATCCATCCGAGAAAGTCTTTTCGGCGGTGACTTTCGCCTGCACACGTCACGTGCATAAAGCGTGTTTTCTCGTGTTCAGTGAGTAGGAAGTATTATTTTGTATTGGCCACGGAACGAACATACGCCGGTTCAGTTGCTCGCAAAGTACTTGTGTGTGGCTCACTCTTCATGTTCTGTGTTAGCTGGAATAAGGTTGTACTCGTTTTTGCTTGACTCACGAGACTGAAGGTACCTCGATAAACAAGACTATTTTGGGTCCTCTCCGCCGGGACGAAGGGTCCAGGAAAGTTCACTAGTGAGACCTCGCATGAATAACGATATGGTTTTCGCCACCAGTTTACCCTTGATCTCCATCCCAAGCGGAAGGATTTGCCGCTGTGATCTTCAAAAATGGATCATGCGGGCGACGCAGAGCGCACCCGAAAAATCCCCCTACAGGAGAGCATGCCGCCACAACTGCACTTGCCTGTGTCCTGCTTCCAGACACCATACAGAGATAGAGGTCAGGGAAAGCGGCACACGCTGAACGCAAAACACGCGACTGGCTCTCACGCTGAAGGTGGCGAAGAGATTGACCTTGCCCGTGACCAAGAAATAGAGGTCAGAGGCCACTTCCTCCTGGTAGAACAGCACGTCGCCGGGCTTGGCGTAGCTAGCCGACAACGCCCCAACAAGGTTGGACACAAAAATCGGCGGGTTGTTCTGTAGAGGCGGCCGTGGGGGGGGAGGGGTCAGAAAATGGCGTTGGCTTAGTAATAGTGCTAGTAGAGGAGGAGATCAGCATGGCTGTCGATTGTTTGGATAAGAGGAGTTTATTAATATCGATGCAACGTACCCGTACGTCGCGTGAATGCTGTAGTGTCTATCGTGCCCATCACCACTCTTCTGCATCTGACCCTAACCCTAGCCCTAGCCATACACCATACACGCCTGCGAAGACTAGAGAAACGCCGTTCTCCACCCTAGCAAACGCTGGTCTTCACCCTAGTGGTAAGACTGCTACTTTCCCCAGAACCCCGAGTCGTACCCTAACTCCACGCCTAATTCCTCCCCTGCCCCCCTGCCCCGTGCAACATGCCTGCAAGAAGGAGAGCTGATCCACAGCGTCGTGGTACTGCGCGAACAACAGGCTGGTCCGCGCCGTCGTGGGGAGGCTCTCGAGGATGGCGTAGTTGTCCAGCACGGAGATCTTCTTGTAGTGGTACTTGTACTGCTGCAGCACGCGCCGGCTGAACTTCTGCGGGAAACGCCTTGATACGATGTACTCCTGGCCACGCGCGCGCGAAATTGGGCACATCCGACCGCCGTCACCGAAAACGATGGAAACCACGCGCGCATACACGGACGCATACGTATAGGGATGACCCCAAGAGCGCCGTTTTCCCGCCACGCCAAGGACCCGCCCCCCGCCGAGCCCGGCCAAGATATCGCGGGCGTTGCGTGGTTCCGTTTCGAGGATCACACCCAAGCATGCACGCATGCGCCGTAAGCGTTGGGGGCCATGCGCCGTTGGACCAACATTAGGTCCCGTTGACAAGTTGAGTTAAAGGACGCACGAAAGATCGGGCGGTAAGGGGGCGAAAAAGAGTACGGATCAGAAGAAGGAGTTGTAGACGTTCTTCAATCATGCACGAGGATTAGGACACGGGTGTGTGTGGGGGGTTTCATCGAGGGACGAGAGAAACGAAGGTGCGCCCGCATGTGTGTTTTTTCTTTAGTTAGCATCGACTGCGGGAACGGACTGACCAATGAAAAGGCGTCAGTCTCCACGTAGAACGCGAACACGGTTTCTGGTCACTGGGAGGACCCATGCGTTTGCCCTTGACGTCGGCCATTAGGCGACTGTTCTCCTTGAGGGTTCTGAGTCTCCATTCTATCACTCTCTCCCAAGGAAACACCAAATTAAACCCGTCGCGAGGACAACAGCAAGAACGCGAGAGAAATTTGTTTGGCTACATATCACCATCGAAATCCTTTGTTTATCGCGATGCATCGATTGCATACACAGGCAAAGCAAAACGAGCACGGGGCGGGATTTTTTTGCCCACAGCCCCAACCCCCGATCCTCAACGGGTAGATTAATCCAGTTCTGACAAACCATACTTTGTCCACGACGCACAGAATTCGACAACAATTGTTGTTGTTGTTGTTGTTGTCGTCTTCACATTAATAACCGTTCCGATCTCTGCCCAGTACCTCTTTCTGTCCGTACTGATCGGCCACTTGACACGGTCGATTCCCGTAATAATCAACAAGTAGACCACCCTTCTATTCATACCTTAACCCTGTCCATCTTCTCCGTGCGGAGCGCGCTCTTCAGGTCGAAGCTCTCCATCATGACGCTCACGTTACCCACGATGTAGCCGAAAACAGTGGCGCCGATCAGCATGCCGACCACGCAGAAGCACCTCTCCACCGTCGTCGTGACCACGACGTCCCCGTACCCCACCGTCGTCATCGTGGTGAAGGCCCAGTAGATCGAAGCCACATACCGAGTGCCAAGGGAAGCCTGGACCCAGGTCAACAAAAACGGGTCGAGACGGGGGGGGGGGGTTAGGGGATGTCTGCAACAAGGGAGGAACCTCTAGACAGTCGCGCTGGGGGGGGGGAAAGGGGTTGGAACACATCCATTCCTTTTTCTGATCGCTAAAATGTTGAGCGTAGATGTGAACGTTGCCGCTCCACAGTCAAGGGAGCTACTCGCCACCGTCTCCCCCCCCCCCGACTCCTTTTTCTCCGCCCCTCCTACCCAGAGCCTGGTCCGGTGAGAACCCGGCGTGCTCCGTCCCGACTTTGTAGGGATGCGAGGTGAATGGTCTAACGACTACGGCATGCACGACTATGAGTACCCCTCCTACCCACTAGTGTCCATTTACAATTCCACTCCTGCCAGCTCTCAATGGTGTGGAGACAAGCAGAACGCTTCGCCTTTTTCTGCCCCTCTGCCAACTCCCCCCACAACCCGTTCGCGGCTCTTTGAAGGAGCTCACCACCTACCCATCATCCAAGCAGGCTCCTTCTGAACTCCCCACACACTCACGAAACATACGGGGCCTGGCCTCCTCCGTCCCTCCTCCTACCAACCCGCCTTCCTTATCTTCCCCACGCAATACTCGTGTCTCGTTACACGGGAAGGAACCCACCTCCTCGACTCCAAACTTCGAAGCCCAGCTGATTCCTTCGGGTTCGAAGGTGACTAGCCAATGCCACATGCACCCAAGGATGTGCGCGATGTACGTCATGTAGACGAGCATCTTCAGGAGGCTCATCACGCTGGGGTTAATCCTAGTGGGTCGCTCCTCCTCCCCTGCGACTTTCTGCAGCCGCGTTTTCGTTGTTTTTTTGTGGAGTGTGTTTGTTGTGCCCAACGATTGTTGAGTGAGTTGTCCGGTTTATTGTATGCGTCCGAAGCGTCCAATGAGCCCCGATGCGATGCGTCCAGCCGAGTTTGCGCCGACGGAGTAGACAGGACGATAATATAGTACATGTCAGTTGTTCGTTCGTTGTGCTCATCGGTACAACAACAAAAAGGCACAAGACAAGTCCAAAGGCAGCCGAGGATAGGAAAGATGGTGGGGTGAGTCTAGGCTGTGGGTAATGGCGGCATTAATTTCGGTGTCGAAGCAACAACAACAAGAGCTGCAGCAGCAACAACAGTAGCAACAAACAGCAACAGCAATGAACAACAGCAAGCCTACACTCACGCTTTGCAGCTTGAAAAGTCGCACAAGCTTGAAGAGCCGAACGAGCCGTAAGATCCGAAGCATCTTCGTTGACCGTAGAACAGCGTTGCCGCTGCCTCCTGCAACAAGCAGGGCCTGGTATGCACGGGTGATGGGGTAGGAGGAACAAGACGGATCAAGCGAAGGATGGACACGCCTTCACGCATGCATTCATGCGCGCGCAGGTAAGACTGCTGGAAACCAAAACTAGGTTGCCGCAGGATTGCCCTGTCTTATCAAACTAAATAGGTTGCCGCAGCCTTCGCCTTTCCTATTAAAATTTGTATTATTGCTGCGACGTAGTATGTGGTACCTCTCTCGTTCGATCACTATAGCGTTGTAGCTTATCTCAGCCCATACAGAAGGAACAGCAACCAAATACGTCCACAAGTAAAGACCTACTTGTTGTATGTTCGGGATATTAAGCTATTGAATTTCAACGCTTTCCTGTGCGACCCAACCCCACCCTCCTGCACAACTACGTTGCTTTCCTTTTGTGCTCCTCTTCTCGCTACCTCGCTCTCCTCCGTCCGCTCCCCCCCCTCTCACCAGCTTGTCTATCGGAACCGTGGACAGAAAGTCGATGGCAAACCAGGCCTTCAGGTAGCGCAGGCCGATCTCTCGAACGTCGACGATAGTTTCTCCGTTCTAGCCGTGCCACACGTTCGTTCGGAAGGCGCAATAATAGGCGAAGTGTGAGCGAAGTTTTTTACGACATACACCGATGTGCATCTGGTGTATTTACAGTTAGGTAGACCAGAAAACTGTTGCGACACATGCCAAGACCCGCGGATATAAACATTGGAAGTACAGCCCGCTGTTGTTTGTTCAGGATTTAGTATGGTACAGAAGATAACCGCGCTATATTTCTTCAATTAAAATCCCGAAAGCTGGTCGCGGTGTTGACATACTGGATAGTTGGCCGCTATCACAACAACCTACCGAACCCTTTCGTTGGGAACTAAATCACCACCGTCGAAATTGCGCATCTACCAGACAGGCAACACTGATCACTGGCTACCACGGTGTCAAAACCTCGACGATGCTCTTTTCGCATTCCACTTGAACGGAAGTCGAGGGAAGGGGGGCAATCGCGTCAGCTGGCAAACCAATCGACCCCAGGGAGGGGCAACGTAATCAGCGAGTTTCTTTCGTGTGAAAGCCACGTTATCTCGAAAGGACGGCTTCATCTACGTACAACTCACTCCTGATTTCGAGCAGTTCTCACGTACCCTCCAGGTGAGACGTGGTTCCGATGCGCGTAGTTTTATGAGCAATACTGCCGCATCTCGATTTGTAAGTGCAACCTACCGGTGCAAAAGAGCTTGAACTGCAACTCGAGACATGTTCGTCTCTGCTGACCCATCTAACTATCTACCCCGCCCTTTGTGGACGTAACTACCTCCTTCCCGGGGCGGCCCGGCGTTTCCAAACTTACCTCGTCTACGAAAGCGGTCCGGAACGAGAGCACAATGTCCAGCGTGAAGCCCACGTCAACCACCGTGTCAACAATCGTCCCAAACACGCCCGCCTCCTCCTCAAACCCGATCCGGAACGGCACGCTAAGGGTGGAGTACACGATTAGCAAGGCCACCATCAGGTCCCACTTGATCTTCGGCTGTGCGTTGGGGTGCACGATCCACCTAGAATATCATGGACAAAACACGTCCGATGGGGCGGCGTAGAGACTGTGAAGCATCTGTCCAAAGTAATCTCGCATCCCTGCGAAGCCGGTACGGAGAACGTCAGGCATTTCGCCCACAAGGCTAGCGTAACGCTGCCGCACATATGAAGCGCCGTGGCTTAATCGAGGAGCAGAATGGAGGGGGGAGGGTGGGGGGCAATCATCCCTACATGCGGTCGTAGGTGAACAGCAGTACGAGGGGCCACTGTGCGACACGCCTCATTCTGCTGGGACTTTTTTTCATGCTCCACCAAGTGGTGGGTGCATTCCACCCGTGCGGAAAGGTCTATGAGTAGGTAGGTACTGGAGGGCCGATAACGCGGTCATGCTAATCGTTCCTCAACCCGACCGTCAGTGCCGCGTGCTGTTTAGTACCGAATGCATGCATGGTCCCAAGTACCCAGGTACACACGCGCACAGCTTCATGGTTCACCTGGTGCCCTGTGGTAGGTCGGTGTCTTCACTCTCATGGTCGTCATCGTCGTCCTCGTCACCCGTCTTGCCGCCGCCACTCTCCTTGATGTGTCCGATGAGCTTCATGTGCATGTTCACGTCATTCCCTGCCCCATCTCCTCTCTGCGCTGTTTCTGGCGACGACGATGAGTCCACTTGCTGCACCATTCCAGCCGACATAGAGCACATCTCGCGCCATGTATCCGCCTCGTTGGCTTGCTTGCGCTGCAAGGCTATCCTGGTTTCTTCCTCGTCTCCCTGTGGATGCCATGTTGTCAGAGTTATCATGCATGTCCTCGTGTAGGAGATATCTTGTTGATGCTGGAGTCTTCTTCTATTCGTAGCAACGGACGAAGGGTTGCCTCTGTAGCGGGGGTTAAATAGTTGACTCCTTTCCCGGAGAGTTTCAAGTGAGATACACGAACAGTCTTGAGACCACACACAACCGAATAAAGTAGACTCCACAACAAGAGCCACCGGAGCAAGTGCCAATGCCACTCTGGTTTCTTGCAGGCAGATTGTATCAAAGTACGTAATTGCTGTCCCCTACAATAGAATATGCATAAATCCTCCGGTTGGCATCTCTCCTTCGGTATACGAATGAAGGATCGCGCCACCGGCTGAGTTGCTTGAGGTACTAAGCAATCACAACCCTAGCCTTCACTGTTGGTGGTACTACAAAATCGCTACCTTACAGCCTCTCCTTCCTTCACAGAACCAACTTACCAGAACCTGCGTGAACTCCCTGCATATGGTGTTCATATGCAAGAGCTCCACGCGTTTCGTGACCATTGCGACGACGGTCGACCTCTTCCAAGTGGCCTCCAAAATCGAACCGCTGGACCTGTGGTGGGGGCCCCGGGCAAAGGCCAAAGCGGCGGCCCTGCTTGCCCGGAAAGCCTCTACTTGGTCATGGCCGTCAGGAGGCGCGTCCTTTCCCGCCAATTTGTCCTTTTTTCTAACGGTTTCTCGAGGCTTTTGGTGGCCTTTGGCGCTCTGTGCTAGATCATTCCTGGCCCGGTCAGATTGGACCTTTGCGACAAGCATTACTTGCCGTCCTTTTTAGCGACAGCTGATCAAAGTCAGCTGTATCGTGTTTTCTCGATGCCCGTCCTGTTTCATTGGTGTTTTGAGCTTCGATTCGTTATTTCGCGAAAGGAGATGAAGTTGGAGGCATGGCATGGCGGCAGTATTGAGGCATGAACGTTTCTCGCACGGAACCACCCGGTATCGGCAGCATTGGTAGGAGTACTCGTGTTGGCTGTCGTGATGCTGATTAAAGCATTCGCGAACACGGCACCGGAGGAAGTACGAAGTACGGGGTCGGCTCTCCCTTTGCAACCGTGCAAACACTCATTATTGTCTGCCAGCTTTACCCAGCCAGGTGGATGTGCAAATCATTGAGTGATCCGACGGAGAAGGGCAATTATACAGTTTGTTTGTAAACAAAACGTTTTCTACTCCACATACTCGCCTTGTTCGACGACTTTGGGTGACAACGCCGTCTTTGCTCTGCCTCTACTTGTTGCGTGCTGTCACGTGCTGTTATTGCACAATCGCACATTCCAAAAGCAGTAAAAATACAGATAAGAGGTACCGAGGCAAGAACGAGCGAGGTGTGTTTGTACACATCGACCATCAACCGAAGAGGCTCTGAGCCACCACCCACCAGGACCGCCTTGTTCGACGACTTTGGGTGACAACGCCGTCTTTGCTCTGCCTCTACTTGTTGCGTGCTGTCACGTGCTGTTATTGCACAATCGCACATTCCAAAAGCAGTAAAAATACAGGTAAGAGGTACCGAGGCAAGAACGAGCGAGGTGTGTTTGTACACATCGACCATCAACCGAAGAGGCTCTGAGCCACCACCCACCAGGACCTACACAGAGTAGTACACTACAGCAGCAGTCCCTGCAACGCCAATGTTACGTAACATCAGCACAGGGTCGCTGTGCCATACGGCTGCGTCGGTGTAGACTGGACTTGTACTGCTGTATATTTAATATGTAGTCTACAGAGTAGACCGTGTTCGTGTTTGCAGCTCCGTCCGACTACGTAACATTTCGGTGAGCGATGGATCTTTGCTTTTAGTACCTCACCTCGTGCTCCCAGGAGCTCTATGCGTCCCGTCTGCACTAGGACAGCTGATCGTCCTCTTTCCTGTTTGCGGGCTGAGTTTATTTAGTCGTCTGGGTGGCGTAGCGCCTTTGATTGGTCGGTCGTTTCCTCGGATAAGTCGTCCACATTTAGACTCGGTGCGGCTGCCCCGCAGCCAGCACACGGCTTGACGGGGCACAGCACCGAGGTGGGCTGCTTTCTTACTTCTGGCAACCGCCTCCGGCCGGAATCCTCCTGCGCAGCGCGTATGTTTGTCACATATGTGTTGCGATATTGTCGTCGTGAGAAACGACGGTTTCACTCGACGACACATGCCTTCGAAAATGACGAACTCCCGATAGATATATACCTGCTGCAATGTATGTAGGTGGATCCACAAATGAAGTCGCAAGCAACGTTATGACATGTATCGATAGTAGCGTTCATGTTGCACAGATCGCAAAGGAGCCTCGTCAGATGCACGTAAGATGGCACCATATCTTCACAATCGTATATTGCCCTCGTCCACCAACGAGTCAAGTCGTCAAGTCCGCCGAAGGACCGTGCCGTACCCTTTCTGCCACACATCTTTTGGGGGTTCGCCAAAGGTCGAATCATGTTGTTGGTGGTGGTTGTTATTTGCACATAAATAACCGTACCAATCTCTGCTCAGTACCCCCTAACACCCGTACAGGTCCAACCGAGGCGGCCGCCTCCCGTGGTCGCAGGCTACACTACCTATTAGCTACTACCTATAACTACTGTACGGCTGTATTCAAAATATTTGTTATCCAATTCTATATGTACAGCATTCTCCGCAGGCTGTTGTACCTCTACCCTACGGCCTTTTCAGTGAAATACTGGAACCCCATTAGTCTAGTGGCCAGAAGACTATCGTACTGAAGCTATGTAGGGCGGACGATAATTTAGCGCCACCATTGTTGGGAAAACTAGTCGTGTCAGACATTCGATGGAGTCAAGTTGGTACCGCAGGTAGTCGCGTAAGATACCACCCCCCCTTGAACTGAGTTTCAAAGCTCGAGTACTCTGCAGCAAAACTGCGACACGGTGCCCAAAGTTACGGCAAAAGAACCGCCTCTTCGAGGCTCTATTTGAAAATGTACTATTCAACGGTTTCGCCCTCGTCGTTGTAGAGTAATCGAGCTTTGGAAACCGGTCCAGGGGGTGTGGTATGTCGTGCAACATAGTCTACATACATACGGTGTGTAGCTCCGCAGTGGGATGTTACGTGCTGTAGAGATAACACGTTGGTCGTTGTACCCTGAAATCCCCAAACAACGTGAATGAGTCTCAATGCCACACTCTATGAGCCACATGTTATCTGGTACTTCGAAGTATTTACTGTACGTATAAACCATAACCATCACATCAGGGTTCGACTGGTGTTTCACACACCAACGGTTCGCATGAAACTAGGGTATCTCGCGTGACACCGTTACCCACCACCCCTCCCTACGTCGCTATCAGAGGGCCCATTCGCGTTTTGTTTTGAGCGTGTCCTCCTCCTGTTCAAAAGAAGAGACTTCTTCTCTGCGGTTCATGTGGAATTCGGGGGGAACGTGGCAGCAGCAAAGTGAGCGGCCTGACTGAGCCTGTACACACCTGTTACTGCATCGGAAGATGCGAGCGCGCGTGTACATGTAGGCGGCAGGCCGTAGTTAACGGCCTTCCGCACCAATTTTCCGTGCGTTTCGCTGTTTATGTCGCCATCCTCTCCTACATGATCGCCCAGCCCATGCAGTATCGTAAGAGTGTCTCTTCGGCCATTGTCGCCTATACGTTGTCGCACATCTCCGAGGCAACATCGTCGAGCACAACTATATTCAGGGGTAACACATGCCCACAATGAACCGAGTGTTCGTCCCTCGTTCCAGATTGAAATCACTTGGTCGTCTGCACGAGGAATGAATGTGGCTCTTAACACGCTGCCGGGTACCACGCAACAGCACAGGCTACACCAACTCAACACAAGGCTCCGCCAACGAGAGCCTGCGGCATCAAGCGAAGAAGAACACGCTACCGCAGGGGCCGCGGTTGCCCGCCACCGCCGGCGGCAGCATCGCGCCCTCTTCGCCGATCGCCCAGGGCTGCCTCGAAGTGACTCTGCGCCACCTCCGTGGACCCAATGCCTTCCCTCAGGGCCGCGAGCGCCGCCTCGCGGCACACGCCCGTCACGTGCGCACCGGAGCTCCCCTCGGTTTCGCCGGCAAGCCACTCCGCGTACGCCTCCGCGCTGTCTAGCAAACCCCGCCGTCTTCGTGCGCGTGGCAAAGGCGCCGGAATCTGCGGCGGCTGTGGCTGTGACGGCGATCGTTGCCGCGGCGGCACCCCAGTTCCAGCCCAATCGTCGCTGCTTACTTGGCCGCTGGCCTGACGGCCAAGTATTGGCGTGCCGCAAGAGCCACTTCCGCCGTCAGCATTGCCACTGTCGTTGACTACCTCCGCCGCCGCCGCCGCATCGGTGGCACCACTCGCACCCAGCTCTCCGCGCTCACCCACGACTCCCCCCTCACCATGCCCGACCTCCCCTTGCAAGGCGGCTCCTCCGCTGTCTGCGTCCCGTCCGTCACCACCTCCCTCGACCTCTTCCTCCATCCGCAAAGGCATGCCGCGTAGGCGTTGGAGGAAGATGGCCGCGCGCGAGGCCGAGTCCGGGACGCCGAGGTGCACGCGGCGATCCAGCCGGCCCGGCCGGAGGAGCGCAGGGTCCAGGCGGTCGATGTCGTTGGTGGCCGCCAGGACGACCACGTGCCCGCCAGACTCCGACATGACCTGTTTCGTGATAAAGGTCCGGGAAACAGCCAGATCCTAGCTGGTGAGGTCTGACGCTACCGCTGGTACCGCCAACAGTTATCAGACTCCGACATGACCTGAACCGGCCGCGTGACCATGCGGGCTACAGCGAATAGCTGGTGAGGTCGTACGCTACTGGTACGACCAACCAACATCAAGAAGTTCTTTGGTAAGGAAAAGATGCGAGACCGAGCGGGAGACGGAACACGGGCGAGGGGCTACATATTCGGAAAAACAATTACACAACACAGAAAGACTACCCGTTCGAGATATACCCACAGTCGAACGGGATGTGGTGGGGTCTTTTACGTAAACGAGCGGGAACGATGTCAAAACATTGAAACACATTAGTACTTATTGACTCACCCCATCCATCTCTACCAAGAGAGTGCTGAGGATCCGATCGAAAGTCTGCTCCGTTGAAGAGTGGTATCCTCGACGTGCAGCGACTCCCTCCACCTGTCCACCCAAAGTAAGCCATATTTTACAGACACACAAAAAACGTTTTCAGCCGCACTGAGACATATTTACTAATTAGTCAGCCAGTTGCGCTGTCGATGCCTATCTAAAAAAAAAAAAAGACGCACACATTTTCACCCAGGATACAACAGCCACTTGCTGCGCTGAAGAGAATGAAGTGGTGTTGTGAAGGGTGGACAGACCGCCAAAGGCGAGTGAACACCGCGCTGGAAAGTGACTAACGCGACATTTCTCAGTTTCTGAAAAGTGACGGAATCGACACTTGCTCAGCGTAGTCTTGTTCCTGCATGACACAAAATCTTCTTTATGAATCTTTCATTGAATACTTTTTGGCGACAATCGCGGTGTTCTCAGCGCATTCTGTTCTTGCATATGCCTGCCTGCATGGCACAAAATCTTCCATGTTTAAATCTTCGATGTTTATTGTGTCGGCAACATTCAAATATAAGGCGAAAAATTGTCGCCCGCTGTTCACGTATGGTGACAATCGTGGCATTCTCTGAAAGAAGAGGTGTGTATCGTTGCCATGCATATCGCGAACGTTCGTGCGTACCTGGTCGAGGAAGAGCACACAGGGAGCGGCCGCCCTTGCCGCCGCGAAAAGATCCGACACGTTTCGCTCGGACCGGCCGACCACCTGTCCGTCGGAAACAGTCCAAAACATGCCTGCCGTTGGTTAGCTTGTTGACGTGAACAAGAGAAAGGCATAGAGAGACAGACAAGACAGACAGACAGACAGACAGACAGACAGACAGACAGACAGACAGGCAGACAGACAGACAAAGAGACAGACAGACAGACAGACAGACAGACAGAGACAGACAGGCAGACAGACACACACTCACACACAACCAAGAGAGAGACTACCGACTACCTACTATCTCTCTCGAAAGCAAAAAAAGGCGTGATGGCCACCAAGGCCCCCCCGCATTCAAAGACAAACGATCCAAGCAACGGCAAGATGGCCACTGCTGCCGCCCCGTCCACCAGCTCCCGCCGTTTTTCCGCTTCACCTTGTCAACGAGGTCCGAGCACCTCACTTCCAAGAAGTTGGCGACGCCTTCCACCTCCGCGGCGAGCGCTCGCGCCACGCTCGTCTTGCCACAGCCGGGAGGACCGTGAAGGAGCGCGCCTGTCGCGCCCTTCAGCCCCAGATCCCGCAGCAGATCGGGGTTTGCCAGAGGCGTTAGGACGAAGGCGCGGAGCTCGGCCATGGCGGCGTCGCACCCGACAAGCGGCGGGGATACCGATATCTCCCCTCGCTGTAAAAAAAAAGGCGTGGAGGGGGGGCGGGGGGGTGACGTCATTCTGAGGCAAGGGCAGAGCTTCTTCTAAGATGCGGAGGGAGGAGGAAGCAAAACACTACGCGCGGTCTTTTTCACGGGGCTTCTATAGGGTTCAGCTCGCACGCAGCAGGAAATACAGGAGGTGGGCGCAGAACGCAGCCCACACAGCTTCACAACCTCTCGGATATGGCCCAAATGGCAAGTACATAAATTCCTCTGGTACTGATTGACCTTTACGGTGAGTTCTTCAGGCCTGTATATGGTCTCAATAAGACGTACGTGGGTGTTCACAATCGCCGCACCTCCTTTCCAACGTCGCCCCCCCACATCCCTGCAGAGTGCCCGGCCAGCGACGCCGGCCGAACGACGTTCAACGCTGCCCAAAAGTCCAGCAATCGGACTCCCGGCGCGCCGCCCTTGTCGCCCCCTCCGCCTTCCCCACATCCACCGATAGCGGCCAAATCCCCTCCCGCTTCGTGACGTCCAGCACCCTTTACCACGTCGACGGCGCCGGCAGCGGTGGCCGCCGAGAAGTGGCTCATGGCCGCCTCGCGGCACAAGCGCTCCAGGTCGGACCCCAGGTAGCCGTGGCACCTCGCGGCGACTAGCTCAAGAAACTCGTCCCTTGTCCGCGGTGGTGAAACCGCGGGAGGCGTCAACGCGACAACTGCAGATACAGGCGTGGCGGCCGCCGCCTCCGCCTCCTCCTCCCTGTTTGGTTTCTCCAATCGAAACGGCGATTCGTCGTCGACGACGTCTGTCTTCTCTTCGTAAGGAGGATGCGGTGGCATTGCGGCGCCCGCTGTTGCAGCAGCAACCGGCGGCTCAGGCGGCGGTCGTGACGGCAGCGGCGGCGACGACGGTAGCACCTCGAGAACCATGTCCCGGGCGTGGATGCTCAAGATGGACGCGCGCGCGGCGCTGTCCAATGCGCCCAGCCGCAGTACGGCCTCCAGGCGGCCCCGCTGGAGCAGGGAGGGGCCGAGAGCGGCAGGGTCTGGACAGGTGGCCAGGAAAAACACGCGGGGCGCGGACGGCGGGCGACGGAACCGGTCCATCGCCTCTAGGAGCACGGAGAGAACCTTGGGGGAACAGGTTCACAGCGATCAGGGGTGGGTGGGTGGGTACAGGTTGGGCAAGATGTTTGTGTGGACTATATTAATTGATTGATTGATCCGGTTGTTCCCCGTTCATCACCTAACCCTTCCCCTTAACATCGCCACGGGACCATATGGCATCCTTCACCTCGCCGACTACTCTATCCTTCGTGGGATACATGGCTTTCTCACGCACGCCGGCTCACTCCTCTGGATACCCGCAACAAAAACGTGACAAGAGATCAACTAGGACAACACACGAGCAACACGACGACAGCCGAGCTTGAACACTTCCATGGCAGTGGTGCGTCTCCGCTTCCGTGCTTCCGTTTACCTGTAGCTCTGTGATGCCCGCGGCCTCTGGGCGTCTCCTGCAGATACACTCGACCTGGTCCAGGACAACCACGGACGGCGAGCACGTCCAAGCCCTAGCCAAAAACTCCTGCCACCGAAAGCGCGGACGGGACGGGCAACGAACACAACCCACCAGTGAGAGCGGCGAGGATAAGAAAAAGCGGCAGTGGGGCACGGAGTTGTTTCGTTGCCACGGCCGAGACGAGTCGAGTTTTTTAGTTGGAAGTCACGCCGGGGTGAGACATGCCACGGGCGGTGTCTTGTGTGCCCGGCTGCCATGGCGTGAAAATATACCGTTTATCGCCACGCACCCTTCTTGCTCGGTGCGTTGTGCGTGGGAAGAGAGTAAGAGAGAGACAGAGAGAGACAGAGAGCAAGAGAAAGAGAGAGAGAGTAATGGCTTCGTGCCCGGCGCTCTGGGGAATCGGCCCGCTTGTTTCGCCGCATCTGCTGTCACGCCAACAATGGTTGGGAAGTCGCTTCCAAACCGTACCTGCCCGAGAAAGGCGACAGCCGGGTACTGAATGCGCTAGGTCCCGGGTATGGCACGAAAGGATGAAATAATCAACGTCGCTGTCTCAATATCAGACACCGTTCCGACCTCTACTCAGTACATTCTCTTACTCACCAGATAAACTCAGAAACGAGTTCCTCGGTACAATCTAACCTCAGAAAAAAGGTGCAAGTCAAAGACGAGCAGCATTGAAAGCGGCCCATGCCACCGGATTGTGCCGCCTAGCAGCAGGTACACACCTGCACGTACTGCTCCGCCTCGCCACGGTCACGTCGGAACACGGAAGCACAGTCCAGGAAGAACCATGGTGCGCCAGAATGCTCCGCAACCGATCTGGAGACAGATCGGGAAACTGTTTAGATCGAAGGCCTGTTCGTACATACTCATGCGTCGTCGTATAGGCAGCAGCCAATTCGCTACACCCGGGGAGAGGCGCGGGTGCCTTGCAGACAACAGGTAGTCCAGGCACCAACAACAACGATTCGGTTGCTCTGAATATGGCAACCGCTCCGTCAGCTAAGATTGACATGGCTATGCGAATCACCTTTGCACAGCAGTCACCAAGCCGGCCCCTCCACGCGCGACGATACGCGAAACCTGGGGACACGGGCGGACCCGTTTCCCCGAAGCGCACCCCACAGGAAACAAACATATATATCATCTATCTCTTAGCGGCTGCAGCAGCAGCAGCAGCAGGTTTCAAATATTAACCGCGGTACGAGAAAAGCCAAAAACACGCAAACGACATGAGACAACACCCAAACATCGGCAGGTGGCACACAGCTTGAACTTTACGAGGGCACGCCCTACGCGTACCTGGCGAGGAGGGTCTTGCCTACTCCGGTCGGTCCGTGACACAACAGGCCACTAGCAGGCGCCGTCAGCTCATCCCCCCCTGCGGTCTCGCTGACGCTGCTTTCCTCACTTCCCCTCAATACCGTGCCTACGGCAGCAATAGCCGTCGCGACGTCATCCCCAAGCCCGCCGAAGTCTCGCTCCACCAGTCGGATCCACTCCCTGGCACCGGGGGAGCGGTAGGGTTGTGGCGCCGAGAGACCGGCGGTGGCTGGGGTGCCGGAGGGTTCTGCTTCTGCTACAGCGACGCCTTTGTCGTCGGTTGGTTTCTGCCAACTGCGAGGGGCGTTCACCGAACCAGCATCCGCGGAGGAGGACGCAGCAGCAGCACCGTCGGCAAGAGGGCCAACGCTTTCGGCAGGGCCCGCGACACCGCCGCGTCTCGATCGAGTCGGCGGCAACAGGCGCAGCTCGGTGGCGCCGTGCACCCTCACCACAACAACACCCCCGGTGCTGCCTACCTCCACCGCCGGCACCCGCCACTGCTCTTCTGCGCACACCTCGACGACGATCAGCGCGAAGAGACCGGCCACGCTGAACACAGAGCCCTCGGCAAGTACCTCTCCTTCCAGCGCATGAGGCAAAATCGAGGACACCGCGGCCAGAGAAGCTCGGCCGTCGTCGATTCTGCCGGCTAAGTCAGGCCTTCCGGTGGACGCCGACACCGAGTACGGACCGCTGAGCTTAACCACGGACGCGAGTGCGATGGAATCAGTCGGAAGCTCGCGCACCGACAACCTCGTACCGCCGCTGCTGCTACCGGTTTCGCCGACTGCTGACATTGTTGGGCAACCGCCCAGGGCCTCAGCGAGACAGGGCGACAACGCAGCGGGGCAGCAGCGATGCGTGTCGGCGACGCTTCCTTCTCGTCTCTCCTTGTCGCTTTCGGCGGAAATACCACGAGACGCGGCAGGCGACGACGAGGATTGGCTCTTGTCCGGCACGCTGCCGCTGTTCCTTGGAAGCGCGAGGACTGTCACAGGCAGCCAAAGCCTGCGGGGCCAACCGTCTCTTTTACCGACGCCTGCACGGCGAGAACCATCAGACCTTTCGGTGTGAGCTTCGGCTGTGCCATCCCTCTGTGGTGTTTGCGCCAGCGATACCTGTGCCACGCCGGACTGGAGCAAGGAACATGATGCGGCACAACCTGCTGCCAACCACAGGACCGATCGTCCACCAGAGATAGGGTCCCGCGCAAGCTCTTCCTCCAAGCAGGCCGGACGCCCGATGACGTCGGCCAACAGTTCGGAGCACTCTTCCTGTGCTGCTATGGCTGGCCCCATCCATCCAGCATCGAGACACAGGAGCAAGAGACTGCGTCTCTTCGTCGTCCATGGGCGGCTATGTAGATCCCTCTCTCCCTCCCACGGCAACAGCGCTGGGCGAAGCAAAAAAAAAAAACCTGCCAACCAATGTGGTGAAAATGGGTTTCAGTCTAGTTCGCGAGGCGTTATTGGTTGAGATAAGAAACGGTCGACACGTTTCTGAGTTTCTAGACGACTGGACCGACCGACCAAGTACTGTAGTGTAGTTGCTACTACAGCAGTGCTGATGTGGATGACCTAGTGCTGAGACAAGCATAGACCTAAAGTCACGAGAGTTAGCCTAAAACATGAGAGAGTGCATATCATTGGATTTAAGTGTAACCAATCAGATGGTTGTGTAGAGGTATCTATCTATCACGGACCACGGACTGACGTGTTGTGTCTGTTCGTGACGATTATTGAAGTTGGACCGTCCGGAAGCTTGGCTCCGTTAAGCCTCGCACATGATCACTCTCACTGCTTTGCCCTCAGTTCCGAACGTCTAGAGCTGATTGCAAGAGTGCCGACGACAACCGAACCAAAGACGCTTGAACACAAGTGCCTGCACTGACAAGCTCGAGCCTGTCTGTTAGCAGAGAAGAGGCAGAACCCAGTTCTCCCCACAGTGGCGTCGTCGGCTTCAAGCTTAGTCTAGCTTGCTTGTGCGTCGAGCGTTCACGGTTGCCGTCGACGGCTGTCGATCGGTCACGCGCTTTCTACGGATCGCTGCTGTCGCCGCGTGACGTACCGCTAGGGTACCGTCCGCCGACGCGCGAAACGGGGCTGAGACCGCCGTGAAAAACGCAACCCCCGGCGAGGGGGGCGTTCGCACGATCGCCGGAAAGGGATCGTCGCGTGAGGTCGCGGCGCAGCAAGCGCGCCCGAGCGGTTCGGCACAACGTGCGACTCCGCTCGTCGGCGGTTCCACACGGAACATGGACCCTGAGGCGGGTTAGGGTTAGAGTGGCCGCCTCGGCTTTGGCCCTCGCCGTCTCGGCGTCAGGCGCGCCGCGGGCTTCGGTCCCGTCGGCAGTGGCCTTTCGCTGCCGGGCTTCCAACAGCCGCAGCTCGGCCAGAGCGCCGGTAAAGCGCGCCTCCAGCGTGGCGCGCGCCTGCATCACAGCGCGCAGCTCCTCCTGCAGGCCTTCCACTAAGCCCTGCTGTGAGCGCACCGTGTTATTCACCTGCCGGTATGCGTGACGGTCATTTTGGTGCGCCACGCGGTCGCGGAGCCCTAGCCGATCCGCGCGGGCCGTCGCGTCCCGGGCCCGCGGCCCCAGGTCCACGGCCTCTGCGGCGACCGCCTTCTGGGCGGCCTTCTTAGCGGCATATTCCTCGATGGAAGGCGGCGTCTTGCGCGGCAGCTTCGCCGGGCCGGGCGTCGCCACCCGCGCGGCCTTCGGCGCGCGGCGCGACGGAGCGGCGCCCGCGCCGACCGCTCGGGCGGACCGCTCGGCCGCCCCCGCCGCGGGGACGTCTCCCGCCTCCCCTGGTTTGGCCTCGACGACCGCCTGCTGGGCGACCTGCAGCTCCTGCTGGAGGCGCTCCACACGTACCTCCTCCGCAGAAGGGAGCTCGGCCCCCGCGCCCCCACCTTCCGCCACCTGCTGCAACCCGGACGTGGAGAGGGGCGCGAAACGGTTTTGGGTTAACACTGCGGACGCAAGCGAGACCGGCGCCCGACGCGGGCCGGTTTTCTTGGCGCGCACGTAATCGGGATCGGACCCGCGGGTACGGGGAGGGGACTTACCCTCAAACACCGCTAGCCGGTGGGCCTCAAACGCCTTGTCCGCCTCCGCTAGGGACCGAGCCAACGCTACCGACTCAGCCCACTCCGGGTCAGAATCGACCTCAGGGTCGCTCATGTCCCGCACCAACTTGAGCGTCGCCGGCAAGTCCGGGTCACGCACCTCGAACGACGCCGGCGGCGCCCGGTGCTCACCGAGCAGATCGGCCAAGAGACGTTCGCGATCGGCGGCCGGCCAGCCAGCTACCATGTCACCGACCGCCACCACCGCGGGGGACGGGTACCCAACACGCCTCACCTGCCCGAGGTAGCCCGCACCTTGCACCACCTGTGGAGCTGCAACTTTAGCACAGCGTCGTGCGACAGGACAAAACAACTCAGGAAGTAACGCAACCAATCATCACCTTGACATAGTGCAACAGCATTTCAACCGCATGAGGAACCGCCCTTCAAGACTTCCATCGCCTACGTCTCTGTTCTCTCGCTCCTGTTGCGTTTGTAGTTGAACTCCGCTGGGTTCGAAATAGTTGTGTAGTAGCACGACGCTGGGCTAATACGGCAGCTCGCCTACGTCTCTGTTCTCTCGCTCTTGTAGCATTTGTAGTTGAACTCGGAAAAACACGGTGTGACATGAGCAAAGGTTGAACCCGAACGATTCAGTTAAATTGTAAGGTGCAAGGGGAGCGTCAGCCCTAGGAACGTCGACCAAAAAATAAAATCAAGTCGCACCTCAAAATTCGGCCAGGTGAGCAGGCACTTGAGCAGAGGGCTGAGCAGCCTCTTTGTCGGCGGTCGAGTTGAGCTCCCGCAGCTGCTGCTTGTCTTCGAGAATGCCGGTCACGGTCTTCGTCCAAGCGCGCTTGGCGCAGAAAGTGAAGGGGCGGCTCGTCCCAGTCCTTGACCACCAACTCGCCGTCGGTGATGACGCCGGTGCAGCCGGTCTCGAGGTCGATGGCCGGGGAACACTCAGGGTCGTAGCTGAAGCACGTTTTCTTTTTTTTTGTGCGGAACGCACGCGCAGAGGGAGAAAAGCGCCCAACAGCAGTCGTCATTTCAGCACAGCTGTAAAAACATGTTCGGACGCAGTGACAACAATGTTCCCTCGATCATGACCAATCCCGCGCAAGTACAAAGCAGCAAGCACAGGAGATGCACTTTCTATTTTCAAGTAACACAGTTGGAACTGTTTACGGCAGAACAAAACTACAATATTTGACCACAGAACGAAAGTTTTCACAGCATCTACGATTTCCACAGCAGCAGGAACGATCACGAATAGGTCAGGGCAGCAACTACTCTTAGGCGCCGGAGAACACGATTAAGTGAGGGCAGCAAACTAGTCGCAGTCGTACGGAAGAACTCATGAGTGGAACGCAAACCAACGCAGGCCGACGTGCATGAAAACTTACCCTCTCCGCCCGGGTAGAAGGACACACCGATCAAACTTTTTACGGGAGAACAATTTTTTTGTACGACAGAACTAAATATTTCCACGGCAGCAGTAAAGCGATCACGCGTAGGTCAGGGCAGCAACCTACTCACAGCCGTACCAGACAAGGCATAAATTTAACGCTAACGCGACGCAGACATGAAGACATGAAGACTTACTCCGATGTGTTCCGGGCCGGCGGTGGTCGCGTTCTTGAAACGCTGGCCGCCCGAGGTCTTAGCCCCGGCGCAGTGGGCAAAAACTCCGTGGATGTTCTCCCAAACTGGCACGATGCATAAACGTAGTGGTCACACGTCAGGAACTCTCCGCCGTCCTTCTTCTTGACATCATGAACATCACCCTGTCCAAGGCCTCCCCCTTGAAGCGCAAGCAAGAGGAAGCAGCCGCCCCGAAGGCCAAGCCGCGCGCCCTGCGTCCTTCAGGCAGAGTGTGCAGTGTGGTGGGGCTGGTCCTTGCTCGGCTTGAGGAGTGAGAGGGACACCTTGCAGGACGTTGGATCCTTCCACAGGTTGTATTGTGGTCACACGTCAGGAACTCTCCGCCGTCCTTCACTGATAATGTCCAGTAAACTGGCTGCGTGCCGCAGCCAGTTCTCCTTGTACTGGCGCTGCGCGCCAGTCCCCAACCCTACTGCTAGTAGTAGCAGTAGGAGCAGTAGGAGCAGTAGTAGTAGTAGAGTAGGAGAGGTAGTAAATAGTGGTCGTGATCCCTTTTCAAGTACCATTGGCTCGTTTACCGCAAACACAGCAGTGTTGAGGTGGCGTGAGGCGCGCCTTCCGACAGTTAGTGTGATTTACAGAGAGAGGGAGTGATGTTCATTGTTAGCTACAAGAGGGCGAGGGGGTGGTGTTCATCATCATCAGCTAGAGAGAGGGGGGGGGGGGAGCTCATCATCATCATTAGCTGGCAACTCAAAAGAGATTCCACATATGTATGTATGTACATATATACAAGGCGTCCCTCCGGAGTGAGGTAAAGAGAGCACCGCGGCAGGGGGTGATGCGAAAACATGCAAAAAGCAAACGCAAATATAGAATATAGAGTACGCACTGTTCGTTCCTTCTACATTCCGCATTTGCCGTTTTTCTGATGCTGCGTCTCCCACCGCCGCGGATTCCAGGCCGTCCAGGCCGCCAAACGACTTGAAATTCATTAGAACAGTATTGTCGCCCAGGAAATGTGCACACACACCCTCGGCACAGGCGGGCGGAGAAGCGTTGTAGTCGCGCGTTTAGCATGCAAACAGTGTGCTGTAGGGCAGTGACCGCAGCATCGTGGTGTGTGTCGCACATTCCGGAGAAAAGAAGAGGCCATATGGATGTGGATGTATTTTTTGTGGAGAAGGTGGGACGGATCAAATGAATCCATCCACAGACAGGAGCAGCGCGCGTGTGTGTGTGTTCATTATTAGCATCGACCGCGCTAACCGGCTGACCAATGAAAAGACGTCAGTCTTACAAGTAGTGCGGTTGAAAACACAAAACACTTCTATCTGACATGAACATGTTTGTGTGTGTGTGTGTGTTTTTTTTTCAAACATTCAAAGATGGATACGTACACGTAAGCAGACACAGCCAAATTATCACGCAGTACATACATACATAACACGCATGTACGTACTGTGCACCCACCACTACGGGGGGGGAGCAATTTCAAATAGACGCGGGTGGTGGGTGGCCCCGACAAGGCTGGAAAAAGGCCAAAAACTCCGGTCGGATGTACCTCAAATTTAGCTAGAAAGTGACCCAAATTAAGCGCACTGGCCCAAAAATAGCGCCGAATGCGTCGGAGGCACGGTTTTAACCCTGCTCCACACTCCGCACTCCACGCTCTACCAGCCACGCCAGCTGTGGATCTGCCGCAATCTTCATCGGAGATCGTGGGCTCGTGGGCCGCGACCGAAAAAACGGAGATCTGTGAGAACGTGTGTCGATCTACGGTTTTCGGAGATCTACCACGTATGTGCGTAACCAATGAAGCAGACACTCCTCCTCTACACAGCAGACAGAGCAGACGGCACACATCTCTCTTTCATGTGGAGCTAACGACCGACCAAACCAAACTTCTCGGTATCGTGTATCAGAAGGAAAGATCTCCCCATCCCAGCCCGCGTGGTAATGGCGAGGGCAGGCAGCGCCAGCGTTGCTGCTGCGCTGTTGGTGCTGGTGGGGCTGATCGGGGGCGGGCAACGGCAACAGCATGTAGTTCATGCTTTTTTGAACCCGCTCCTGTCCCGCACGACTGCCGCTGCTTCCGGCAGAAGGCACCACCGACACATCGTCGGGGGCATCTCGAGAAGACCGGCCCCTTCCTCGATCTCTCGTTCTACGGCTTACAATTACGCCCTTGAAGGGGTCATGAGCACGTCGGCAACCAGGGGAACCCCCGAGCCAGGCCCCGCTTGGCTGGTGGAAGAGCGAGATGCCTGCGGGGTGGGCTTCATCGCCAATCCGAAGCCGGAGCACAAGGTGGTGGAGCTCGGCCTCGCGGCGCTGGGTTGCATGGAGCACAGGGGTGCCTGCCTCGCGGACAACGTGTGAGTTTTGGATGATTTTTTCATAGGATTGTAAATTCATGACGTTGCAGACATGCGGTTGTTGGTTCAACCGAGGCCCTCGAAGGGCGATTTTTTACTGGTGGTGCATGAACAAAAACGAAAAAGCTACCAAACTGCTGTTTTGTTGAGCCTGTTACACGCAGGGGAGATGTCCCTTAATGCTGTCTGGGAAATCGTAGACATACAGGTACTTTCTGACGCTATTAATTCATTGCTAATCTGTCTCTGACTCTTTTCTCTATAAAGATGGATTCGTTGTGTCATACTAAGAAAAAAATGGAAAAGGAAAAGGAGAAACCCCGGGTTTTGTAGAGTTCTGCGATTCGTCCAAGTGTTTGACTCGACCTTACTCGACCATCCCGCCCTCGATTAACTCGCGATTTTTTGCACTAGATGCGCAAAGAAAGCCAGTACCCTAGATCAACTGCTTTGGGACGTTTTGGGGTGCATCATAGTTGTAAAAAGGACGACAAGGGGAAATTTCAAGAAGAGTTCTGCGATCTGGCGTGGTTGTTGGCGCGCGTGTTCTCTGTTTTTGACTCGACATTAATCCACAATGCCGACGCCGATTTACTCGGAGTGTTTTTTCAATAGACGCGAAAACGAAGCCAGAACCCTGGATCGACTGCTGTGAGTCGTTTAGGCACCCTAACACATAGTCCTGTTTGGTTTTGACGAGCCACTCCTATGACATACCACATGGTGTCGTATACACACATACACATGCATGCACGGTGGGGCTTTCTCTCTATCCAAGAGAACCGCGCGAACACCAGTATCATTTTCGGATAGCATGCAGAGAACCCGCAGCCCGCACTGCATGGGAGTAGTAGCAGTCGCGAGCAGAGCACAGGACAATGGCGGGCGCTGCCTTGACAGATCATGCAGAGGATGAGAAGATCCAAGTTAAAAACTCTCCAACGGCCACAACTAGTCTCGCTTCTAAAACTCAGCAGACCAAGCAAGCGCTGCGTCGTAACTAAAGCAGCAGGGCAAGGAACAAAGACCTGCTTGGGAAAGCGTGTGTATTGGTCTGACAAGGTTCATTCGGCTGCCAGGCTCTCTGTTTAGCCGGGGGGCGCACCCTCTCTCTCTCTGTCATCAGCTGTCAGCTTCGAGGCTCTCTGGTGGGCGGCGTACGCTCTCTCTCTCTCTCTCTCTCTCTCTGCTCTGGGTCGCTGTTGTTGCTGCAGCAGCAACCAGCTGCTAACACTCTTCATTGCTGGCGTGGTGGCTGTTCTGTGGCGGCTGTGTCTGCGGCACAGCTGTGAGGTCTCTAACACGTCAAAGAGTGTTGCTGTCGGTATTGGACATATCCCCCTCTCTTTTCTCTATATGTCCAATACCGACGGAAACGTGCACCACCACTAAAAAATCGCCTTTCCCGAGGGACCACCAAAACTTCGAAAGTTCTCTGTGACCATGCTCATCAATTGCTCATTAATTTGTGGCAGGGACGAGTGCCCACCGCAGTTGCCCCTTTTTCTCATAGATCCGGGCGATGTGCTTCAACATCGCGGCGTTGCCTTCCCTCCGAAGGGGAGGGTGGTTTCTCGTTTTGTGTGTGTTTGCAAACCAACCTTTACTTACGGATACCGTATGTGCTGATCGTTGTCAGACCCATAGCGGAAGCAACAGCAGCCCTGGATTGCCGCCCTACTGTTGGAGGGTTGTGTGCACCACCTCGTCCATGTATGCCCGCACAGAGGGAGTTGCTGGAGAGACATCCAATCGAGTTCGTAAGCGCAGCCTCCACCCCGTAGATACGGACGATACCTACGGTCCTTTTCGGCTACAACAGCCCCATCGGCCAAACAAAAGCTCGTAGCTACCTTTTGATTGTGGAGTGTTGATTTCGATTATGTGGTGAAGGGTCTCAAGGTGCCTTGGCAGTCTAGTAATATGCTCCCTACCTCACCCCCTATCGCATGTATGTAGACACAGCAGCACTGAGCTAGCTGCACACCAACGGATGCAACCTCCCGAAACTAACCAACCCCCTTTCGACCACTACCGCTCCCCGCGCGTGTGTAGATCCGGAGACGGGTCGGGCATCATGACCTCGGTGCCGTGGGCTCTTCTCGAGCGCGAGTACTCCGACATGGGGGTGGAGACGGACTCCCTGCCCCCCCGCGACCAGCGTGCGGTGGGCATGCTGTTCCTGCCACAGGCCGAGGACGCCGCCGCCGAGTGCCGCTCGGTGGTCGAGAAGATCATGACCCAGGCCGGGCTGGAGTTTCACGGGTGGCGGTCGGTGCCCGTCGACCCGTCGTCTCTGGGCCAGCAGAGCAGGGAGAACCAGCCCAACATTCAGCAGGTGAAGTGCTGCTGCTGCTGTTGCTGCTGCTGCTGCTGTGCACTCTCGCACGTGTACGTGTGATCCCTTGCCCCCCTTCCCCGCGGTAACACTGCCAATTTCTGGAAGGAACGATACCGTCGTGTTTCTGGCTGCGAGAGAGAGGTCAAGTTGGCGCTTGTTTCTATTTTCATCTCGAAGGCACCGGTTGCGGTCATCGTAGCTAGGACTCCAGAGCCGAGATAGGATAGTGGGGAATCGGCTTCGTGCTTCCGGCGAGCTATCTCCCGGAGCACTCGCGTGATGTTTGCGGTGCGTCCTGTCTGTTGCCGTTGCACGGCGGTGTCGACCATCTTCTCGTCGTCCTACACGCATGTTCACGGCCAGTCTTGTCATCACCGACTAGATTGTTTTGGAGGATGAGCTACAATGTAGTTATCGTACAAAATTTCCTCCAACCATAGCATACCTTCTTGTCAAAATCTGCAAGGATTGTACATGTTCTTTCTGCTTTCAACATGCACCAGAAAAGTAAGTACGCGATCAGTGAACACACAGTTGTCTCCCCCCCCCCACCCCCCCGAATTTCCTTCCCCTCTCTCGCTGCGCAGTTCATGGTGAGCAGCGAGAAGACCTCCGGAGACGCCCTCGAGCGTGAGATGTACCTGCTGCGGCGCATGGCGGCGAAACTTCTTGTCGACCGTGGCTTTGATTGGCAATCGGACATGTACATCTGTTCGCTTAGCTCTCGCACGATCGTGTACAAGGGCATGACAAACGCCAACGTGAGTGCAACTAACTGCCGTAAAGACGACCATAGTGTTGTGAAATAGAGTTGGAATTGCTCATGTTGGTGTTGGTGTTGGTGTTGGGAAGTTGTTGCTGCTGTGGTTTGTGTAGTTGCTGTTTTAGTTGTTGCAAGCAGGTGTTGTTGTCGTTGTCGCAGGTGTTTGTTGGTGTTTTTGCTTCAGGGTCTGGAGCTCGCCGTTAGTGTTGGCGTTTCTGGTGCTGCGATCGTTCTCGGTTTCGGTGGAGGTGACCTTCCATGTATTTGCGGCCTCGGGGTCTGACCGGGATGTTGTGGGCCGTACGTCAGCGGCGTAAGAGCTGTCCGTGTGAGCGTCGGTGTTGATTCACCGGTTTGTGGCGCGATGTAACTCAACCTTAGCGGTGAGTGAGCGCTGCCGGCGCTGTTGGTGTGTGGGTGCATCTGGTTCTCGTTGCCATGTATGCCGGTTGTTCTTGCCTGCCTAGCTGTGTATGCTGGAATTGGGTCTGATGCTGGTGGGTAAATCAAGAAACGAGAGCGCCCTCATGTACGGTGGTGCAGTGCAGTGTTCGCCCATCTCGCCTTGCCAACAGAGGAGAAACGCCAATAACAAAACGTGAAACGTCGTAAGACTATGACCTCGTCTCTTTGTCCGTCCCCCATGTGCTTGCCTTGGTGTTCGTCCATTTTCCGCCGCGCTTTCAGGCCTTAGGCATGTTCTACAAGGACCTCAAGGACCCGGATTACGCAACCACCTTTTGCGTGTATCACCGGAGGTTCAGGTGCGCCCCCCTTCCCCCCCCCTCCCCCCTCCCCCCATCTAGTCCGCCCCCTATGGTTTAAGCAGGGTGCGTAATTTCCATGGTATTGGGTTTTCCCCGACCCGTACCTTCGCCCGTTCTGTGGAAGAACCGGTTGGCTGTTTGGTGGTATTAAGCGGTATTGGTGGTGGAGTTTGTTGATGGTGTCTGACGTCTTGTTCATCTACTCCCCACCCCCAACTGGCCTGCCGCGTCGGCTTGGCACGGCTGACCGAGGAAAAACAGCACTCTTGAGGGTAGCAGCCTACACTCGCTGGCGTTTGTTCCACTTCGACTACAGCATGCGACAGTATCGCGCGTTTTTTTCGTTCGGTCTCTTGCTCCGCAACAACCATGGTTTTTCTGCCTGAACGGTGCACGTCGGCGAAACCATGAACGGCGTAGCTGGGGCGGACGCTCTCACTCACGCGAGTCGAGCGACGTCTGCTGCTCGACTCAACTGAGCGAGAGCGCGTCTGGGCGTCCGACCCAACTACGCCATCCATGGTTTCGTCGACGAGCACCGTCTGCAGCAGCTCCGGGTTGAGCATCATCCTGAGCAGCGGCCGTAGTGCAGCGTTGAGGTAGAATATGTGAAGTTGTTTGCGGGGGAAGGGACAGAGGAAAACGCCGCGTGGTAAGTTTTTCATTGTTGAGGAAACCTTTGTTGGCGTTGCAGTATTCGTGTCAGCGGCGAAGTTTCGGGAGATTGTCGGCGATGCTCACAACGCGTAGTTTCCCCCGGACACGCGAAAGCTGTACGACACGTCATCGAGAAAAACGCCTCGGGCGAAAGCAGCCAACGATAACTTGCGCACGGGCATTGGCCTGTCGCTTTTGATCTCGTGAACATCACGGCGTCGTCGTGGAGTGCCTTGGGATGCTTGATTGTTGGTGTCCCTACAGTGCGAAGGACGTCCGCTTTCGACGCCGGTTGACGATGAAAAACGGTTGCCGCAGCCACCATTCGACGATGCTGCTTGAAGCACGTGTGTTGCGTCCGTTTAATTCCTCCCTTCTTTGTGTTCTGCCGATAAGAGCATCGCGCACAGTATCGCAAATCGCTGGCCATGAACGCTCTTCATCCTCGCTTGTTGCGAACACCCATTATAGCCTCTACAGTTGCGAACACCCATTATAGCCTCTACAGTTGCGAACACCCGTTATAGCCTCTACAGTTGCGAACACCCGTTATAGTCTCTACAGTCAGAGCCAGCACTTTCTAGCTTGGCATGGCAGTAAAGAATTCGATGTAGCCTCGAAGATTTCAACATCAAGGCACTTGAGCACCATTTTTAAGCTCAGCTCAAGAACCCCTACACTAACACCCCTATACAGCGGCCATTTGTAGCATTACCCTAGGAAGTAGACACCCAGCCTCGACAAAACCTACAGGGGTTCTGAAGTGCGAGCGTCAATTATAGTCCCGTTTTCTCCTCTTGTTTTTTCCCCCCTCTCCAGACGCGAACAAGCCTCATCCGCCCCTTGCGATTTGCTTTCGCCACCGACGTACTCTCCACACGGATCCATCATCCACACCTTGTAAGAACCATCATCCACACCTTGTAAGAACCGTCATCCACACCTTGTAAGAACCTGACCACGTAGCGTTACCGGCCACGCCTCAGAAAACGTCGTTGTTCTCGCGTGCGCGTCACGCACTACGACTGACTTGTAATATTTTGTTCGCGCATTTTGTGTTTGAATCTGTGTTATTTTCTCGTTGTTGTTGTTGGTGGCGGTGGGGGTACATGACATGCGCAGCACGAACACCATGCCCAAGTGGCCTCTCGCCCAGCCGATGCGCATGCTGGGGCACAACGGAGAGATCAACACGCTCCTGGGAAACATAAACTGGGTGAGGGCACGCGAGGGGGGACTGGACACGTCTTGCGAGTTCGACCCTGAGGGGGATACTCAGAACTTTATCAACAACTGCGACATCCAAGGTGGGTGGTGTTCGTGGATCAAGCTCGCCCGTAAGCAACTACTACGTGCGGGGGGAGGGGTGTGATGAATCGTGTGCAAACCTCAAAAGACCAATGTTAGTCATCAATCTTTGATGGGGGTCATGCACAAGTGCGCGGAGAGTTGCGGCGGGGGGTACAAGATGTGATCCGTTAGGATGCTCGTGTGCTGCTCATCGTCTTCGCAACCGAAGCCGCAGCGAACGCCGCCGCCGGAACAGGAGGGCCGGCGTCCTTACACAGTACCGCCAAGCTGCGTCAACTCGATGCAGGATGCAATACAGCTCAACGAACGCCTTCGTGAAACGGCAGCAACATCTGCGCGAAAGCCACCCGATCGCCGTCGCACCCGCAGTGTTATGCCACGCTAACAGCTTCGCCGCCGACTAAAGCAGCAGTCGGTACACTATCTGCCCCCAAGTCACGTCGTCATCGAAGTAGTGCCTAGAGAGGACAACATGGGGAGCGTACCTAGGAGCAACGGTATGACGCGTTTTTTCATGTGCTTGTAGCCGGACAAGCCAAGCGGGGGAGACATTCAAGTTTGGCTTCCTGGGCAACCAAACGACGGGTGATTTGTATTTTTCTTCAGCATCCAGCGAGCCGGCTTCGCCCTCGAAGCGGGCTCCCTGGGTGCTGAAGGAAAATTACCAACTACCGGTCGTGGAGTAATTATAAAAGCCGAACTTGCGTAGGCAGACGCGACACCATGGAGTCGAAGTGCATCCCTGCTTGGTTGTCCGGGTACGCACGTGAGATAATGCGCCATGCCTTGCTCCTAGGAACTCTCCCTTGTTGTCCTCGCCAGGCACTACTTTGCCGACGACGTGTCTTGGGGGCAGATGCCGGTTGCTGTTGTAGTCGGCGTTGTTGTTGGCCGAGTCGTACGATGTTGCGGGCGGGGCGGCGGTAGTGCTTCGGTCGGGCGGCTTTCGCGGAGAGGTTGCTGCCGTTGACGAAATCGTTCGTCGAGCTGTATCGTATCCTACATCGCGTTAATGCCGCTTCGGTTGGGTGCAAGGAAGCTGGCGCTCCTGGTCTGGCGGTGGCGTTCGCTACGCGAAGACGACGAGTAGTTATGCTGTGTAGAACAAGGGGAAGCAGAGTGTCCTCTGCACAGTATCCCGTCGGTTAGGTGCTTGGCGGGACGATGGGGATCTTCTTGCCGAATAACTCGCCCTCTGGAAGAAAGCTGAAGCTCTCAGGAGGTGTGGTTTTCCAACAACTTGGACCGACTTCCCTAGGCATCTCTTTGTCTTCACTCTTTTTCTCTGTCTATCTTTCCTTATGTTCTCGTCCCTTGCTCATCCGTCTCGCTCATCTGTCTCCCAGCTCTCCGCGCCTGGTCTCCTTACCCCCCCCCTCTCGCTGTTTTTTAACGTTTGCCGTTGTCGATTTCACGCCCTGTTCTCTTTCTCCTCACCAGTTCTGACTCTCATCGTGCTCGTCGCCTGGTACGTACCGATAACTTTATTTTTTGTTTTTGTTTGGTCACGTTGGTCACGACAATCAAGACGACGAGACCTTCGAGGCACTCGTGGACAACGGCAAGTCTGACTCGGCCAACCTGGACTCGGTCGTCGAGCTGCTGGTGCAGTCCACCAAGTCGCCCATGGAGGCCCTGATGATCATGGTGCCGGAGGCCTTCCGGTCCCAGCCTGCGCTCAACAGCAGGCCGGAGGTTCGTATTGGGGCTTGAAGAGAGTAGCATGACGACCCCCCCCCCCCCCCCCCCCCC